CTGTTCTCGAATGGTGTACATCGTTGTATCGACCTGGAATCGCGAAGGTGTACATTGCCGCAGTGCTTTTGCGTTCTGAATCAGCCTCAGATATTGACGTTACTAGGGCCATCCTGGACTTCTTAGACGCTGATCCACTTGAAGAAACAGCCCGTAAACAGCTCGTATATCATCTCGTGTCCGAGCTCGCTCGGTCCGGCCATTTCTCGATTCCTCAGTACATCCAATGGCTTATAGCCAGGGGTGGTCTTCTTTATCCCGTCGAAACATCGCCGGACGGACCATGCGTCACGAGACTCCTCGTCGAGATCCCCATCCACTCACTGAACGAGTCCATGAGAAACCTGAGGGCGACCCTACTCCGAAGGGCATGCTACTCTGTCGAGAACGAGGCAGAGGACATGGCGACGGCATTAAGCTACGTCAAGAGGACGCTTTCCGTTCCACTGCGCTTTGATGATCCCTTGTTTTACAAGAAACCCATGGGCTTGAAGAAGCTGTCCAACCGAATCGAGCTAAGCAGCCGTTCTCTCAAGACGACCGTTTCTTCGTGGCTTAGCAACGACTTCATTAGCGGCGTTGCCCAAAATTTACAGTCAGCTCAAGGTGGCATGGAACTCCCCAAACCTACTTTTGAGACGGTTCGCACCCTGCTCGAAGCTGCTCAGGATTATACAATGCTTGAGAATGTCTTGAAACTTCTGGCGCCATCTTCTAATACCGAACTCCTCGCGTGTTGCGCCGATACTGTCAACCTCCATCTGCCAGTATTTGCCGCAACGGGCGCGGCCAAGTCGCTCTTCCAAACCCTCTACGAACGACTTAAAACTATCCTGGAGGAGCAGGGCGTCGGGGCGCGTCCGTTACTTGCCTCCCTCGCTAACCTAGCACCACGCCTAACAGGCTTGGAAGACGTGGCGGCACAATTACAAAACGACCTAATTCGGATCGACCGCAGCAGTGCAGCCGATGCCTCGTCACCATTGTCTGACAATATGGCTACACAGCTTCAGGACGCCGAGACGGAACTGAGCGAGCAAATAGAGAAGCTTGCAAGCTACACGAGCGCTGATAGGCCAACAATGGAACGCTTGTTCTATGCCATCATCAAGAAATTGCAAGCTTATTGGGGCAAGTCCGACGAGCGACAACGGCTCTGCTGTATCCTTCTCACGAGACTACGCGTGTTTGACATTCATCATTTTAACGAACTCATGAGGAGCTGGGTACAGCATATTCGGAAGCTAGCGAACCGACCCCCTATCGGCCAACTATTCCCACCCCTCGTCAGCTCGGGTTGCCTCTCACTCGCAATTCTGTTCGCGACAGCTTCGAGGAGTCAGCCTCAAGCCACCCAGTTCCAACCGAGTGCCGCCGGATCTTCTTCTATCTACATGCAGGAAATATTGCAGATGTTAATGATGCCATTTAGTCCGAGTCAGGTCATGACTTCTGAAGACTGCTATCGCTTCCGCATCGTACAAGACCACGCCAAGCGTGAGCATGCTAAGGAGATCATGCCACTAATTCGCGGGGCATTGGCGGAGTATTCGGCGTCTCGCAATCAGCAAACTTCGATCCCTCAGCCGCTCGATGACGACGATACCGAGGCTCAGCTTCTCGAACTCCTCAGAGGCTTAGTTCTTGTTGATCCAAATGCCGCGAGCCAAACGCTCTCGCTGAAAGGTCCTGATCCGAAATTAGCTGCGCTGATCGAGACCTGGACTACGAAGTTGTTAGTTCCTCGCGGTGGAGGTGGACAGAAATCATTCGAACAGGTTCTGGAACTGGCAAATGAATTCACTCTCCCATTCTGCCAAGTCAAGCTTTCCTTGAACCTAGCAACCGACGACGCAAACGGCCCCGAAGCGTCAGAGAAGCTCCAATTGCAATTTGAACTACTAACAAAAGCAATTGACAATGCCATCGACGCAAATAATATTATGTGGACAGGCATGCTCCCCTCCCTGAGCACTGAAATTACCCAGCACATGAGAAACCGAGCGGAGGCGCGCTTCCTCGATATTATTCCGAGTCTCAAGAACCCCCCTGGGGACCCTCTCATCGGCAAGAATATCCATATGGCGGAAAATTTATTGACAGTCGTTGACTCTATATTCCGCGGAGGATCAGGGTCCAAGACATCTCCGCTCTCTGGCGCACTAGTAGAGAAGCTTGCCGACTTATGGGATATCATGGCCTCAAGAAACAGCGAATATGCGTCCCTCAAAACTGCTGTGCTGTCACATTGGTTACCTTTGCTCTTCTCGTACCTAACTCTTTACACCTCGCCGTCCGCGAGCGCGATAGACATGTCAAGGTTACAAGGGGGAGAAATCCGTGCGCGCGCTTTGATCGTCCTCGCCGGGCTTGTCCAAGAACTCGACAATCACCCATCTACCAATCTCGGACAGCAGGCCTTCGACATCGCGCTCGCGCTTGTCGACAGCCTACCGGATGACGCACGGCTGCAGTGCGTGCGTGCGGTGAAAGATGCCACAGCCGATCCCAGGATCCGATACCTATTCAGCTTCGCACCGAACCCGGCGGAGGATTTCATGCTAGCCCACCGCGACAAGCCACCGCCCGGGATACAGGAGAGGAGGGCAATAGCGATGGGCATGGGAATGAGCATGATACCCGAGAGGTTAACCCCTTTTGTGTTCAGGAGATGGGAGATCCTCAACGAACCCACCCCGAACGTCGGCGAGAACGATACAAGCCTAAGCTTGACATTATTCGACGCGAGGAAGATAAAATAATATCCCTTTGTAGGGAGCTTGTACGCTCTCCTACTTATCACCCTTCATACGGCGGCATACGACCGACACGACGAGAGCAGAGGGAGGCCTAAAATTAGGGCCTCACATACGACTTCCATCCCTTTTTTATCCTTTTTACGCGTCTTGGCATCTTCAATCTCGCATCCTGGGGTCATTCGCGGCATTCACGATTCTCACGCATATGTGCTTAATTGGGCTGGTCTGTTTCTTTTCTAATCTTGGTGTGCGGATCCGTCGTGTTTGATACCTGGGGCAGGATTCGATGCATAAGGGCGTATCCATTGCTTTTTGCTTTGTCTATTTTTTTTTTTTTGCTCTCTAGGGATGGGCGTAGGGCGGGGGCCATGGGTTTAGCCGGTTGGTTGGTTGGTTGGTTGGTCGGTTGGTCGGATAAGCCGATTTACCTGCTTGCTGTTTGCTATTAACTAGTAACATGTATAGAGAGAACTAGAGGATGTGGACGAGACGAGACGAGACGGGACGGGACGAGACGAGAGAAAGAAGTGTCGGGCGCGAGACACCTTGTGAGAGGAGAGGAGAGGAGAGGATTGTCAGAGAGAAATGAGAAATTCGCTGACATACTTTACACTACCGTATTACTGTTTTGAATATCTGTGATTGTGAGAACTGACTTGTCGGTGAAGCTACTTGCATTGGTAAGTGTTTGTTTTATACACTTTGATATATCTAATTCGGATCTTGTAGGAAAGAAGTCTCCCCTTTCCACACCCCGCCCATTCAGCCCATATTACCAAACATCTCTCCACTTCCACTAAAGGTGTCACCTAGAGCCCTAGACCCTAGCAGTTGGACAGTTGGACGCAACTAGTCCTGAGAGCTCTCATAAGTTGTAATGCTAGTGAAGGCAAAAGAAAAGGTCCCCTGGCCATCGATTAGTTCCTTCGTGTTCCCTTGTAAGGCTGCGGGAATGACTGGCTGGTCTACGATAGCCCCTTTTCCTACCTTCTCTCTGCTCACTCTATGCAGAAGATGAGTGCCAGGCTTGGAAAAGCCTTCCCGTAGTTAGCGAGTTTTGAAAATAGGAATAGCTGGATGGTTTGATTCAGGAGGAAGTGCCGTTTATGTCTTTACAAGTAGACGCACTATCTGTTGGCTGGATTCGACCTACTTGGTGGGACACTATATATAATCTTCTCGTTTCATCGATGCGTACCTATATTGCCCTTTCATATTGTTATATCTTAAGTCCTATTCGACGTCCACAGAGAGAATTGTTACTGTATCTTTCTCTGCTCGTATAGGTCTAGAGGGCTGGAAGACCCGGTGTATTATGGTGTCTCAAAGCTGGACCAGATGAGCTTCAGATGTCATGGTACAGCTGTCTAGAGTGCCAATATTTGAATTGTTCGACAATCCTAGAATCACTACAAGGTACTCCCCAGATAGACATCTCCTAATGATCGTGTCGTTTGGATTTCTCAGGGCTGGCTAGAATAGGGGAAGTAGTCGATCAATACGGCAACACATTCAAGAGACTCAGCATTTCTCCTTACTGTTAAGTCTCATGAAGGCTTCGCCCCAACTATACATCAGCCTAGCTCACTTCGAACATGCCATAGTTTTCCCCTAACTACTACCTAATATTTACCATTGTAAACGTAAACCAGTCTTACTTGACCTCTGGACATCCCTCGGTCCATGCCGAATGTAGTTTGTCAAACTTTGGCCGATCTACCTCTCCCTTTTTTGTCGTTTGCTATGAATACCACTTTACCAACATCACACAAATGCATCGTACCTACCAGGTACTGTTCACTAGGCAGGTATTTGCGATGGAATAATACATTTTCCAGTTGCTTTCCTCAAGGGCTGTAACAATCATGGTAGGTAAAGGCATACACTATGCTTTGATGCCACCCCTGAGTAATTGAGCGGGAAACATCATGATAAGAGACAAACAAAACTTATACTACTAGGCTCTATAAGAGCTTCCTATCTCATTACAATACCTACTGGTCGGTTAATTACTCTTACTATTTACAATAATTACGGCCTCGGGGGGAGACGTCGTACTGATGGCAACCGAAGGCTAATTATAAATGAGAACCATCCACGTCCGCATCTGCCCCACACGGTCTTCGCGGTTATGTAAGTGTTCACATCTTCACACAAATTGTCAAAAATTAAATCCTCCCGTAAGATATCTGAGAAAACGATATAAGAACCGAATTTAGGCACGGAATAGGCAAAAGAAAGGGGCTTGGCCGGGGATCGAACCCGGGACCTCGCGCATACATGTGTGTGCTGTAGGGTGAGCCCTAAGCGCGAATCATACCACTAGACCACCAAGCCATAATCAACCGACGGTTAATTGGCTGCGAATGCAGATGTTAGTTCGGCTGCTATGGGGTATTATATGTCTGACCACAATCGCACCGAGTATCGACCTCGGCGAGTACTAACACACAAGTGACATAAAGCATTGAGTCTGAATTACTTCAAACAAATATAGATGCCACAATCAATCTTCTGACCTGCAAACAGTCAACACCCCCATATGACCCTCGAGAGTAGATTAAGGGGTCGGCTCATGTAAAACTCAGAACTCGAGCCTATGACTATTCATAGCAAAAAAAGGAATTCCAAGTTTATCTATAAAAATATTTCCCAGAGAGTAAACAGTTTTAAGGAAGAGGCTCGATTAACATAGAATGTCCAAGACTACGAGACTATTCCAACAGCGATGGCTGAAATAAGAACTTGCAGACAGCGACTCTGTTCCAAGCAAATCCTCTTCTAGATGACGAGTAAGGCACTTTTGAAATTCCCTCTTGCTACGTATCTCATCCATGATTCTACAAATTGCCATGCCTGCCTCCTTTTGTCTTTCCGTCTTCCGGATGCAAATGAATTCAAACCCAACGCCCGCAATGCAAGAATGCTGCTCTGCCCTGCCGTCACACACACTCTCTCTCTCCTAAATGAAACCCTTGAGTACTGCCGCCTCCGCGTTCAGTATGGACGAGCCGGCTGCTCCGATAACAGCTGTGAAATGTTAGCTTGCTGTTTCTTTACCTTTGCTCTACTTTCTCACGCGAGATCATAGGACATGGGGAGTGGGATTACTTACTGTTGTGACTCAAGGCAACAAACTTGATATCAAAAATACCGCTCTCGTCCTCGCGCACACGGCCAACACTGACCGTGTACCCACGACTCAGGTCGCGGTCGAGCCTCGGCTGCGGGCGGTCTGGCTCGTCGAACACCTTGATGCTGGGCTTCGGGGCGCTCGGGCACCCGAGTGTCTCAGCCTCGCTGACATATTCGCTCAGGGCGGCCTTGACGTCGTCGGCGCTGGGGGCGGGCCGGTTCTTGAACCTGAGAGACACGCATGCTGTGTGGCCATCGAGCACGGGCACGCGGTTGCAGGCGGCCGACACCCTAAGGCCCGACTGCTCGACAAAGGCTGTCGCGTCGGCGCTGACGGACCCGAGGATCTTGCGCGCCTCTGTCTCGAGCTTGTCCTCTTCGCCCGAGATGAAGGGCACCACGTTGTCCAGGATGTCCATGCTGCTGACGCCCGGGTACCCGGCGCCCGACACGGCCTGCATGGTGACGACGCTAACGGTATCGACGGGTCCGAAGCGCGCCTGCAGCGCCGCGAACGGGATCACGAGGCCTATGACCGCGCAGTTGGAATTACACACCAGAAAGCCCTTCTCCAGCCCGCGCTGCTTCCGTTGGTGAGGGATCAGGTCGAGGTGTGGTAGGTTGACAGTAGGGACGACGAGAGGCACGAGGGGGTCGCGGCGGTAGTTCTTGGCGTTGGAGAAGACAGCGAGGTTGGCCTGGAGGAATTGCATCTCGATGTCGCCGGCGACATCCGAGTCGAGCCCCGAGAATACCACATCGCAGTCGGCGAACTCGGACGCCCTACACTCGCGCACCACCAGCTCGCCCACGGCCGCGTCCATTGGTGACGCCTGCTTCCACCGCACAGCATCCTTGTACTTCTTACCCGCTGACCTAGATGAGGCGCCGACGGCGTGGAGCACGAAGTGCGGGTGTTGCGATAGCAGTAGGATGAAGCGCTGGCCGACGGAGCCTGTGCAGCCCAGGACACCTGCAGTGAACGAATAAGTTCAGTATGCGAATTCGGCAATTGGCTTGGAAGGGGAGATCTTACCGCATTTCTTGGTGGGGAATTGGGAAGCCATGATGTCTTTGGGGTCAATTGACTGCTCAGAGGTCGAATCGATGCGTGACTGCACTCGTTGTTGAGCCCTCTAAAATTGTGAGTCAGCTCTCTCTCTCTCCGTGAAGATTTATATGGAATCGGGGAAGGAGAAGCTTATGATCTGGAGTCAAAAAACTTTGCCCCACCAACGAACCCCGCCATCCGCCATCGGAACGCGCCTTCAGGGGTCTTGAATTTCTATTACTTATCCCTGTCTTCTGTTGTACCTGAACTCAGCTGAGCCTGGACTTCCTCGGCGTCTGTATTGTACAATTCATCGGACCACCTCTTTCAAACGGCATCTATGGATCTTCTAGCGGCGTACGCCGTTTGCGATCGAGCTGATGGTGACGGAACCCGAGATAAGATTTTATACAGTGGGTTTGTTCAGACATATATTCATACAATATGTATCTCGTGATAGGATAGACTCTGCCTAACACTGGAGAGCCAATCCGTATATCACGTCTAGGCTACATCCTGGAGGTCTAGGACGGATACATGCTGAAGTTCACTATACGAACCCAAGTGAAGCTACCTAAACATCTAAGTAAATAGAATAGCTCCTTAGGCTCCTACCCGTATATAGCTTGTCATCTCGAACGGGAACCATATGTTAGCACCTGGCATAATAAGCAGTCATGCGGTAGATGACCAACAGGTGAGAAAGGGGGCTTGACTTCGACAAACTTCGGAATCTACATTACCACAATATTCCCGCGAATCGTCTTAGCAAACCCAGGTCATGTTACCATTTTATAAACTTTTCATTTCTTCCCATGATTTTCGCGTATATACACGTTCTTTTTCATACCCACGCAATCACCGAGCGTCGGCCAAATCCCGAGAAACCAACCCCTGTAAGTTAAAACAAGACAAGACAGAAATCCCCTTTTTCTAATTCATCGGAGGTATACCTTCAAACTCCGCATACCCGCGAGCCAAGTTCATGTTTTCTGTAAGCCGCGTTAGCATCTCAGACTAGACAAATCAAGTGGGGAGAGGCTTATAGGAAACTCACGTAAACATTGTGTGGCGGCTCCCTTCAGCAGATTGTCGATCGTCACGCAGATAACGACACGCTTCCCAGAACTGTGAACTGCAAACCCGCCAATCTCAACGCCGTGCTTCCCGCTGATAGCCTTCACCAGCGGGGCCTCACCCACTACCTTGACCAGCTTCTCGCCCGCGTATCTGTCCTGGTACATTTGTCTAATGTCGCGAGACGTCATCGTCTTGTTAAGGGGGATGTTGATCGTGTGATGGATACCCTGGAACCACACCGCGACGTGGGGGATAAACCCGACGTCGACACCCAGCTGGCTGCTGATTTCCTTCTCGTGGATGTGATCCGTCAAGCTGTAAGGGATGAGGTTGTTAGTCAGGAGTTCCACGTTGTTCTTCGAAGAAGGTTTGGTGCCGGCCCCTGAGTAGCCAGAGACGCCAAAGATGGTAGGCTGGCCACCAAGGTGCTCCACGAGAGGCGAAATGCCGAGCTGGGCGGCAGTAGCATAGCAGCCAGGGTTTGAAATGTGTGTGGCCTGAGCAATGTGCGATCGCTTCACCAATTCGGGGAGACCGTATGTCCACGACTTGTCAAATCGGTAATCGGCCGAGAGATCTACTATCACGCTGCTGTCTTCTCTAGAAGACTCGTCCTTTGCCTTGTTAATCGCCTCCACGTACGGCTTACATACGCCGTTCGGTAGCGCCATAACCCACACGTCTATCTTGCCCTTCTTCTCCATCTCGTAAACCTCGTCGTAGCTCAAGTTCTCGTAGACGATATCCTTCTTGGTATAGCCTTCTAACTTCTTTCCTGCCAGTTCTCGCGACGACACATGCTTAAGCTCAAAGTTGGGGTGTGTGTTAATCAAGCTAATGAGGTTCTGCCCGGTGTAGCCTCGAGCACCGATCAGCGCAACCCTGGAGGGCTGTGTGTTCGAGGCATGTTTCTTGCCGTACGGAGGGTTGGGGTTGGTCTCGGTCGCGAAGCCTCGGCGCGATACGTGCGAGAGAGCGCTCGTGGGGGTGGCACCCAACGCCGGACGACGGGCGAGAGTTGAGTAGCCCCGCGCCTGGTTGGCGATGGAACCGGAGGCAAAGTGTGCTCGTAAGTTCTCGGAGGCGACCTGGGCTGCTCGGTGGAGTCGAGACTCCAGGTTGGAATCGCCGAGCATGGCCCGACCTTGAAGGGTAAATTCTCGCATGAGCTTGTTCAGCTCCTCACCTGGTTCAATTCCGTACCAGAACATGACATCGTTGCCTCTAACAATACTACCATCAGCCTTGTCAAAGAACCAGGTAAGATTCTCGTCATCAGCCTTGACAGTCCATACTAGGCTGGGATATTCCTTCTTGATCGCGGCGAAGAGGTTATCGGCGACATTCGTCAACCAGCCGGATTTCGTTATCGTCAAGGTGGCTAATGTCGAGTACGATTGGTCTGGGGAAGGGTCGAGGACGACAGCTAGGGCTTTCATGGGCTCGTCGAAGTAGGCCTTGAATTTTCGACTCTGCAAGAAGTCTAGATATCGATCAACAGTGGCCCTGGCATCCCGGACCTCGCGATCTCGGACGAGAACATCCTTCAACTTGCCAAGGTCACTGAAATCCGCAACGCTCTCTGCGGTCATCAGCTTGTCCCCCCGACGAATTAGAGTGCCGGCACCCGAGTCCGTGAACAATTCTTTCTGCAGGTCGGCAGGGTGGATAATAGCAACGCTAGACGAACGCGGAAGAAGTTCTAGGAGATCTTTAATCTCCCGGATCTTTAATCGGGTTCCGAATTTGCACCAAGGCTGCATCATGATGTGCTCATACTCCTCATCAAGGTTGATAGCCGAGATCTTCTGTACGTCACCATCAAACAATCCACCCTTTTCACTGAGATATACAACCTTCAATGGTTCGAACTTGCGGGCCAGCTCTCCGGCCGCGACGTCGGCATTGACGTTCAACACCTGGCCCTCCCTCGTCTCTGCCATGGATGTAAGAATAGGCAGGTAACCATTCTCAATGGCGGTCTGAATTGGCTCTTTGTTAACCTCTGTGATCTTTCCTACGAACTTCCATTTCTCTTTATCGAGGTAATCGGCGGTGAAGACACTAGACG